TGGATTTAATTGCGGGTTGGATATTTTTTGAGGTTGCGTAGATCATCACGCTACCATAATTTGTGTTTTACATAGCATATTGAAAGGTTGCTTTCCCGGTTTCTTTTTTTTTTTTTTAAATCGGGTAAAGAAAAAAGTTACCAGGGATTAATGTGCTGTGGACAAAACGGTTGTCGTATTTTCTAATTGCGAGCTTAATTCCTTTATTTATCTTTTTTTGGCTTTATGCACTTTTTGAAACTTTTCCTTCCTCTATTCCTTATTTCGTCCTTGACCTTTATCTGTTTGCAGTTGATTGTGAATGTTTGTTGAACTTCCTTTGGTGGTAGTGGTAGTGGTTAGTGGAGTTTGTTTTAGCAAATAAAAAAGAGAGATAATTTGTTTGTTTACCACTTGTCAGCGTTTTTAAGCCGCAATCTGTTGGTTTGATCTTTTGTGCTGGCATCGCCTAGAAAATTCAGTAGGAAAAAATAATTGACTTTAAATGAGAAGTGAAGCTAGGCTTGTAAATCAGTCGTTGATTCTTGTCTGGGAGCCCACTGATGGATGGGAAATACTCTAGATGCAACTGAAAGAATCAGAATTAAGCTTTAGCAAAACCTCTTAACTCCGCCAGTTTGAAATGAGATAGATGCTCTTCCACTTGGCTTTGGACTGGACTCAAACAGTGCAGCTTCAGTTATATCCTTTAACTTATGATTGCTTCACAAATTGTTTTCCTGTTTCTAGAAATATGTGTCGTTCCCAGCCACAAACATACTGTGGTTGCATTATGGGCTGTTGTTGTTAACCATGTTTTTCAAATAAAGGTTTTTTTTTTAAACATATTCAAAAATTTCGAGAATAATAAGGTGGTGTATATCCAAGCAAGTATTTTGGCATTCATCCTAGTTTTTGAGCGTACTATTTAGACAAAATACCAATCGTTTTGTATTTCCATTTGAATGGAGGATGTAAAAAACAACTTTCAGCAAAATTAAACATGCCATGAATCAATTGCTATTTGTAATGGAAGTTGGGCAAATGGTTGAATTAAAAGAAATTCGAAGAAGTAGCCAAAAAGTCCAAGAACATGAGGAATGTATTTGAATCAATAAGCGAAAGGCATGGGGAGATGAAAAAAGTTTAGAATGAAAGAATCAATTTAAACTCAAAACCAAAATTAAACACAACAAGAACCAGGAACAGTGCTGAAGCAAGCAAACAGCAGTTGTGGCCTGTGGGCATTGGACGACTGGATCGTGGCCCAAAATTGAGCCAAGTCCATGACTGCAAGGAGAAACCATGTTCTCCGTTATATGCCAATGGCAAACGGAAATGCCGTTGGCTACCCTGCCTGCCGCTCAGGCGCTGACAGTTCCGTTGAGAGGGAGAGTACGATGGCTGGTGTCGGAAAATGCTTCCTCCTTACTGGCCCTCCTGTAAGTATCGCCATTGCTTTATATTAATTAAGAATGACTTTCCTTTTGCATTTTGCAATCTTTAGAAATTGGATTATTAAACGTGCAGGGTGTGGGTAAAACCACTCTGATCATGAGAATATTCGAGAGTCTGAAGCTCTCTAACCCCAACCTCAAGCTCCAGGGTTTCTACACCCAAGAGATTAGACAAGGAGGTGAGAGGATTGGGTTTGAAGTTTTCACGTTGGATGGTCGCAGAGGTCAGCTCGCCTGCACCGTGATTCCCAGGTGTTTTTTTCGCTCTGTTGTTTATTCCTTACGTTTCTGCTTCTTAATTTAGTCCCTTTTTCGTCATTTAAGTCCTGCTTATGTACATGACAGTCCCGAAGCTCATCGGTTGCCTCGTGTTGGGAAATACAAGGTGGATGTAGCATCATTCGAATCAGTGGCGTTGCCTGAATTGAAGGTTGGCTGCTTTCATATAAACTACTTTATTACTTGTGGACCTGCCTACTCAATGCTTTGAGGGCTATATACTTCTTTCTTCCCCAAGAAGTTTTATCGGCTTTCTTTAACTAAGTTCGTACTATTCTTGTTGAACGGTCTAATCTATTGGGTTAGGAACTTGGCAGTAACTGTTTGAGTTATGCATGCTCATTTATCAAAGGCTGAATATCTGTATTTTGTTATCAGATCAGAGAAGATACCGATCTCTTCATCATTGATGAAGTTGGTAAAATGGAGTTGTACAGTTCATACTTCTTTCCAGCCATTCTAAAGATTCTTCAATCCAATATTCCTCTTCTCGCTACTGTACCAATATCAAATTTCGGCAAAGATATACCTGCAGGTAAATTTTCTGAATGCATTCATAGGCATTTGTTTAGAGAATGTAGTGATTTGTGTCCAGCTTTGAAGCCTCTACTGACTTAATTTGGTTTGAAACCATGAAAGAGTAGGATTATATTGCAGGCTTTAAAGTAGGATTATTGTTGTTTAAAGTCTCTACTAGATTTTGCTGCAGGAGCCCTTTTGCTTTTCTAGCTAGATTTGTTAGGCTATGATGTTGAATTTGTGCAGTTGCAAGGTTGAAGAATCATCCAGGTGCAATCATTTTCACATTAGACCAATGCAACAGGGATGCTATGCAAGAGCAGATCTATTCCCAGTTGGTAGATGTACTACCTAAACCAAAGCTACAGGACTAGGTTAATGATAAAAGGTACCTGATGTATCCGGTTCCTCTGTGAGTAATGAAAAACGTATCATGTATTGAATTCTGGCTCTTTTTATCTTTTTGCATGTGCTGTATAAGCTTCTCCACAAAATCTTCATGTGGAAATCTTACATTTAAGATCTTTTCTTTCTTAAACTTGTGCAATGAATTTCATCAGCACTATATTTCATGTTTTCCTATCGGCTCTGTTATGGAACATATAGTATCCTTATTTTGATCTTACATTTGTTTTGAGGTAATAGGTGTATTCTGGTTTGTTTTTTCGGGCACAGGAGATCATCTGACCATACCGGAATGTTTGGCGATCAGCTAGCTGTTAGCCAACAAGGTTGATACTGATAAGGTAGCCTGAGAAAGGGCCATAATGCTCGGTTTTTCTTGAATTTTGGATATTGACTTTTGCTTTAGTTGCTGTCTAGTCCATGGAATGGTGAATGGAAACAGAGTAAAACTACATTCCTGTCAAAGAATACCTTACAAAAAAAGAATTTAAACTTGTTTTTCACTGCTGTACGTGGAGATGAACAAACATGCCAAAGAGTAATGAAAAAAAAGGGGTGTATGGTATTTCACAACAAAAACAGTGTATGGCATTGGCTTATGAGATTCGTTTCTCTTGTTCTGTAGTGCGCAGCAGTTCTCTTGCCATGGAAGAGAATGATTTAGCAGTATCTTGCATCTCTGTAGTCTTCAAGCTGATTCCCTGCCCAATTCAACATCAAGTTTGTCAATGGACATGGAATTGTAATTCCGAAAAACCTTGAACAAAACCAAACTACGGGGCCTTTGTCATACACTTTAATGAGTCTTCCAAAAAACCAGTACCTGCAATTTTTTCAAATTCTCGTGAAGCTTGCTTTCTGCCATTTTAGCTGCACTTGATTCCTGCAACCGAGGGAAGAAGGCACTGTCAAGGAAT